ATATAAACAGTTTGAACTGAAATAAATAAATAAATGTAAAAAGGTAAGTTTGGCAATCAAACTCAAATATTGCACTAAATAGTTATTAATTTAATGCTATCAGTACGTCGAAACGTTGTTTTCTCATTACCAAACCATTTACTCCAAAATCCCTTAAACTGTTCAGTCTGGAATGTAGGACATAAACCACCCAGGACATAAACCACCCGGACGTAAACCACCCAAACTGGAATATACCATTGTGAAAGTAGGGTGGGCAGTGAGATGGACAATGTTGGGTGGGCCTGTTTTTATCACCTTCACAATAGGATAGATTACATTGTGACTTTGACCTATTATACGCCTTTTGACAACATGCATGTATGTTAATAATCATTGTAGATTTTTCCTGATTTCAGTGGTATTTATTTCAGTAATCACTGTTCTTAAAGTTTGTATTTTTCTAATGATTTCAACACAACAATTTGTAATATTCTAATGATTTTAACATAACAATTAACTTCAAAGTTTAATGGAAATTCAAATACATTTAATAATATTAATAGTTTGAATCTAAAAAGTCATATTTTTTTAGTAAAGTTTTAATACATTAATAACATTTTTTTCTCTCTTGTTATGGTATTTGTCTAATATTATAGCATTCACAAGGACTTGTCCCTACTTCCTATAAATATGATTTAATAATAATAATAATAATAATAATAATAATAACCATAATAATAATCATAATAATAATCATAATAATAATGTGAATGTAAACAGTCATATCCAATAATTTTATAATTAATCTGTTTCGATTGAATTGTCACTACTGTATAATTAATATTTCTTCTTGCATTAATGACAGTTATAAAGAAACGAAACATACACAGTAATTTAGTAGTAAAACCAATTTATTTCCATAATAGTGAATACAATCTAATTAAATGCTCCATTACAAATAGAGCAAACTTATACTACAGTTACATTATTTACATTTACATTAAATAAGATTAAAATTATACGGTATGTAATGATATAGACTATACATCATAAAAGACATTAATTACTTTAATATAAAGTATACTTAAACTAGAATTACAAAACTCCATTAAATTAGAGTAAGCTTATACTAAAGACGATTAGAATTATACTGTATGTAATTATATAAGCCTACTATACATCATAAAAACATAATTACTTTGATATAGAAGAATAAAATTATAGGGACCAATTGTATGTAATAATATTTACCAAATCTACTATACATTATTAAAAACATAATTATTTCAATATAGAGTATACTTAAACTAGAATTACATACATCATATTTCATAACAAATTTGATCAGTTCATACTTATAACTAAAATTATAGGCCCTACTTTTGGAATGATATATTGGTTCCATATAAGACAAGACTTAAAATAGTAAATTACGATAGTAATAGGGGTCGTCTTAAGGCCAACTCAGACAGCGTCGGCCGACGCAGCCCGACCCGATTTATCGTCGGGGACAGTCTTAAGCCGTCGTGAGAAATATTAAACACGTCTAATATTCTACTACGCGACTGCCCCCGACGCACACCATCGCGTCTGCGTACTGCCCCCGACGCACACCATCGCGTCTGCGTTCAACTCACACAGACCCGACGCGACAACAAATCGCGTCGGGCTGCGTCGGCCGACGCTGTCTGAGTTGGCCTTTACGCGCAAACACATACAATTTTTTAATTTTTAAATCTTGTCTGTCTTATGTGCATGATTATCTGATCAAAATATCTTATCAAATTAAATAACGAAATGAAGCTACTATTTCTAACTGTTTGTATGAATGAACACAATCTTAAATATGGGAAAATAAGGTTTTATGATAAACATTAAAACGCCCATAAAATGTATCATTTGGAAGATTAGCCCTATGTTTAGCTCTGTTTTTAGCCAGAGATGCAGTTTCAAGAGCCCATAAAGAGCAGCAAAGCGTAGGAATTTTTGCCATGAAACACTCAGAGTCGTTTTACGCCCGGTATATAAAAATCCAAAAATCTTCCCAATCTCCGTGGTCGTCTTATACACGGACCGCTTTTGTGAGACTATACGGTAATGTACATTACATGGCTGCAGTTCTTGTGTAGTCTCATTTCATTTCATATTAAAATAATACCATAAAACATCGAATTGAAGTCCAGTGGGTTTAATCTCGAGATGAAGCCCATCTCGAATTGAAGCCCCCTCTTTAGTTTACAAAATTCGCCTCGAAACGAAACCTATGGGCTTCTTTTCATGAAAGCGTAGGCTTGTTTTCGAGATAGTACAGTAACACTGTACATGAATTAAAAATAAATAAATTAAGAATAAGCTTGGTTTATACAGTAGTTTAGGTGGTTTAATGTCAGTTAAATACACTCCGTGATACAGATTGATGTTATATTGGCCGTATTTATTGTTTTACAGTAAAAATTCACAAAATTTACAACACTCATTTTGAAAAGAAACTTCCTCTTTACTTTGCAAAAACAGCCTCAAAAAGAAGCCCATTGAAAAGAGGCCCTTCTCGAAAAGAAGCCCATCTAAAGTTCGCAAAAAAAAAAAATAAATAAATAAATAAAAGAAGCCCAGGGCCTCAGTTTCAGGTTTTACGGTATTGTCTTGTGAGCTTGTAAATTTGTTGTACTTAGCATTTGTTCATAAGTAAAATTTCCGAGAAGTTTTCCTGAATAATTGATAGTTTTGTTTTTGCTTATTTATTACCGACTATGAATTTGCGGTCAGTTGGGCACATTATTTA